AAGATAATTATGATTAATAATTACATTATTAATCCTACACACTCACGTATTACCAAGTGATTATCTACTACAATCACTAAACTGAAAAAAAGTTGGATATCATCTACATATTCAACATGATCAATGTTCATGGTAATGACAACACCAAAACATCAACTTACACAAACAGGTGTTTGGGGGAAATCATTAACCATTTTTCATTAAAAACAACCACATCCAATATCCCACCTTAACCTACATCATTGCTTGTAACACAATGTACATTACCACTCATGCAGGAAATGAACTTCTCATCCTTCCTCTCTGCACTAGTGGAAATGTCGGGTACATATGTCATCCATTTTCTGTTTACAAACACAAATGAATCATCAATGTTTACGTCCAGCACACATCGATTCTAGTCAAGATCAAACACCAGCAAATGATCAACTGACCCATTCAGCGGGCACACTTCCTAAACATAGTCTTCATCAATACAAGAACATCTATTCTTAATGTTCAAATCACTGATCATCAGTAACTGTATGTAAGGGAATGTTTCTGCAATTGACAAGATGATGAAATATACGTGAATCACCTGATCAGTAATGACACTGCTACATTCGTCAGCAATATTTGTCAACTTCTCCGACCTCGAACCAACGGTACGAGTCTATTGATTTTCCCCTTACCGACCATCACAGCCCCCAGTAGTGGAATCTACATTGCTGCCTGAGCATCAATAATTGCGAAATAGTTGTCAGTCTCAACCTGTGAGTAATCTGCAACATGTTGTTATCACCTCTGAATGTGTTCATTTCAAAGAGAAACAATCACAAGACGTATGACAATAAAATAAACATACTGACAGGGTTTCCATGTCAGTGTTACTGGTCAGACATTCACAGCTGACTATACCCACCAACAGTCATTAGGTGCTGGGTCGGTGGCCGACATTGCCGGTCAGCTTGGACATGAAGATCAAAGCTGTCTTTACTGTCATCTATTACAAATAATCAATATCATCAGTAGGTTTGTTTGCTTGAGGATTCCAACTTGGCTGGACAATAACACAATTTGGTGGCATGTAAACACCCCCTAGCCCACACTGACTATACTGTTGGCAATGGTGGCATGTAAATGTCCCCTCGCCCACACTGACTATACTGTTGGCAATGGTGGCATGTAAACACCCCCTTGCCCACACTGACTATACTGTTGGCAATGGTGGCATGTAAACACCCCCTCGCCCACACTGACTATACTGTTGGCAATGGTGGCATGTAAACACCCCCTCGCCCACACTGACTATACTGTTGGCAATGGTGGCATGTAAATGTCCCCTCGCCCACACTGACTATACTGTTGGCAATGGTGGCATGTAAACCTCACCTCGCCCACACTGACTATACTGTTGGCAATGGTGGCATGTAAACACCCCCTAGCCCACACTGACTATACTGTTGGCAATGGTGGCATGTAAACGTCCCCTCGCCCACACTGACTATACTTTTACTATTCTTTTTGTTCACAGATTGAAATACCTCAATAGTCAACAAAGAACACCAATGCTGCAGTGTCACCAATTAGGAAGCCAATATTGGTGCACTCACATCTACCTTCCACACCCACATGTACAAAATACAAATTGCAAATGTCATCAAGAGCCATCCCACTCTTCTCTATTCAGTTACACATTTCATATGTTTGTGGTATCAGTTGTAGCATAATGATTAATCATCAACAGCACGACCTCTGACCCATATTTCCAGAATCATTTACACACCAGCATAAAGCCCCCATCACTGCGCATCCTCAAGCATCCTCAAATACCTCTTCATTGTCTAGGCATGTTACTGATATGAACTGATACACATGACAGTAGTCGATATGAATGACACACTGAAGTAAGTTATCTGTAAGCTAGGCGTGTGTTCCCTTGCAAGACTAAGGTCACGTACAGTGTTATACCACTACATGTCACCTAGAGAGTTATACCACTACACACATCAACAACAGTGTTATACAACTACACATGTCACTTACGGTGTTATACTGCTACAATCATCACCTACAGTGTTATTCCACTACACACATCACCTACAGTGTTATACCACTACACTCATCACTTACAGTGTTATACCACTACACTCATCACCTACAGTGTTATACCGCTGCACACATCAACAACAGTGTTATACCACCACACGTCACTTACAGTGTTATACCACTACACTCATCACCTACAGTGTTATACCACTACACCCATCACCTACAGTGTTATACCACTACACACATCACCTACAGTGTTATACCACTACACTCATCACCTACAGTGTTATACCACTACACATGTCACCTACAGTGTTATACCACTACACTCATCACCTACAGTGTTATATTACTACACTCATCACCTACAGTGTTATACCACTACACACATCACCTACAGTGTTATACCACTACACTCATCACCTACAGTGTTATACCACTACACATGTCACTTACAGTGTTATACCACTACACTCATCACCTACAGTGTTATACCACTACACTCATCACCTACAGTGTTATACCACTACACATGTCACCTACAGTGTGATACCACTACACACATCACCTACAGTGTTATACCACTACACTCATCACCTACAGTGTTATACCACTACACATGTCACCTACAGTGTTATACCACTACACTCATCACTTACAGTGTTATACCACTACACTCATCACCTAAAGTGTTATACCACTACACTCATCACCTACAGTGTTATACCACTACACTCATCACCTACAGTGTTATACCACTACACTCATCACCTACAGTGTTATACCACTACACTCATCACCTACAGTGTTATACCACTACACATGTCACCTACAGTGTTATACCACTACACTCATCACTTACAGTGTTATACCACTACACTCATCACCTACAGTGTTATACCACTACACTCATCACCTACAGTGTTATACCACTACACATGTCACCTACAGTGTTATACCACTACACTCATCACCTACAGTGTTATATTACTACACTCATCACCTACAGTGTTATACCACTACACACATCACCTACAGTGTTATACCACTACACTCATCACCTACAGTGTTATACCACTACACATGTCACTTACAGTGTTATACCACTACACTCATCACCTACAGTGTTATACCACTACACACATCACCTACAGTGTTATATCACTACACTCATCACTTACAGTGTTTCACCAATGTATACTTGATATCCCCTATCCCCTAATACCGGTCTGACCGATACTTAGATGTGGTTTCACAAATGTTTATCTTGATCCACCAATGATATGCATGATCATCATCAATCAATGATAAGCATGATCATCGTCAACTACTGATAAACATGATCCACTAATGACATACATAGCATCATTTATATAACTCTCATGTTTACCAACAATGTTGAGTCAGGTTTGTTCCAGTATTCATATTGATCAATCAGCAAGGTCAACATTAAGTCACTGGCTCCAGTAATGCGCACAGATGCCTCATCTGTAAAAGCCATGTTTCTCCTCTTGAGGATGATAATAATCTGATTATTGTGCCTATATTCTGCATTGGCCTACACCCAGCCAATATAACACCCTGAGAACAATGAGTGGGGAAAAAAACGCATGTTGATTCTGAAGTTAAATCAAATTCACTAAGGATAACGCCTAAAAACAAATTTCTATCTTTAATAAACGATCCAATGTTAATGAAAAAGTAAGCATAATAAGAATAGATTCTATTTTAAAAAATTCATGAATAGAATGTGTATTACAAAAACCTTTGATTATTTAACTCTAAAACCCTCTAGTCTTTGATTAAACAATAATCAAAATTATAACTACAACTAAAAACTGCTCACAAAATCTTGAAACACTCCAAACAATTTGGCATGCACGCAAGACTGGTGTTTAACATGAGAACAAAAATTGTGGTGCAGCACAAACAGAGTCCGTTGATATGAGAGCAAGTCTAAAAAACCAACCCACCTCGGGAAGTCACGAGGAGAAATTCCGTTCACATTCTTCTCCCAGTCCCCCCTCCACCTTGAGTCAATCAAATTACACCAGGATGTTAATGGGTGTGTAAAATCAATGGTAGCCAGTTACTCTCGCAATCAATGGAGGACGTGTCTCGGTGATTGTAGTGTGGCAAGGAGACTACTACTATCTCCCATGTTGAATGTGGGCAGAGTGGAGCGACTGCATCACACGTCACTATTTGGAAAGGCTGCTATATGAAGTAGGATGCAATCAATAAGTAGACCCTGTCTCAGAATTGCTTTGGAATAGCATTTTATATTTTTCATTCACAGTTTGTATCTGACTGCTAAAATTAGACTTGAATATTTCAGTTTCCTATCCTTATCCAATTTTATTTTTTATCAAAGTCAGTTTAATTATATATGTTTATGGCCACTTAACCTTCATGTTTTATAGTAAAGAGAAGGATATTGCTGGCATCGACTAAGACTTTAGGTCATATCGGATGTATAAAAATTCTTCTTTTCTAACCCTCTAACTCCCAATTTGGTAGCATTTTGGTTTGAACAAAATAACTGTGATATATTGACTTCTAAGGTAAAAGATATTAGTATCATATTATAGTGACAATCAATAACCGTAACTCCTAGTTTTGCCTTCCGCATCTTGGCACATTTTGTAAAGAATAACACAATTGTCTGGCATACTTCTTATTCTTGAGCTCCACCCAATTCTATCTACAAAGTCCCAACAGTGTTATTTCCTGCACTGAAGTCTGACTGAGGCTCTCTTGTTACCATCTCTGATCACCTGAACCTAAATAGTACCAACTACAAATATATCATGTTGCCAACTAGCAACCTGCTTCCCCTGCGTACAGCCTCCCATAACAAACATCAGCTGTGTCCTCTACACACATTGCTACCTTAATATTTCAACATCGTCAACCTCTGTAAGTAGGTGGAGATCCTACAAATGTTAATACATTACTATAAATGTCAGGAGAAAATACTGGTATTGTTTTATTCACATCCTCATCACCGTCATCACAGATTGTTTTGATCCATCCAAGACTGCCATCAGTGTATTGAAAATCAATCCTCCCAGCAACAGAGGTAAGCAGATGAAGAACGATGACGGGTACGCCTGCGTCACTGTCAAGCCTTGTACCTCCTACTCCTCAGGTACATCAACAACTGGTATCACTTCTGTAAATGTCAACCCTTGAATCTCAGAGACAGTCAAACTGAGCAAGGAATGGGGATGATCAACCGTTGTTCCCGGACACAGAACCATGTCTGGCTCCATTATAGAAGCCTCATATCAGGCCCGTGAACATAAAGTTGTTGGAAAATGTATCTAAGTTGTGGAATAATATGTGTCTACAAAGAAAAGTTGCGGTATGATATGTATCTAGTTAGTAAAGTCATGGTATGATATGTGTCTAATTAGTAAAGTCATGGTATGATATGTATCTAGATAGTAAAGTCATGGTATGATATGTATCTAGATAGTAAAGTCGTGGTATAATATGTATCTAGGTAGTAAAGTCGTGGTATAATATGTATCTAGGTAGTAAAGTCATGGTATGATATGTGTCTAATTAGTAAAGTTGCAGTTTGATATGTATCTAGATAGTAAAGTCATGGTATGATATGTATCTAGATAGTAAAGTCGTGGTATAATATGTATCTAGGTAGTAAAGTCGTGGTATAATATGTATCTAGGTAGTAAAGTCGTGGTATGATATGTATCTACAAAGAAAAGTCGAAGTTTGATATGTATCTAGATAGTAAAGTCGTGGAATAATGTGTCTAGATAATAAAGTCACGGTATAATATGTATCTAGATAGTAAAGTCATGGTATGATATGTATCTAGATAGTAAAGTCACGGTATAATATGTATCTAGATAGTAAAGTCGCGGTATGATATGTATCTTGATGGTAAAGTCATGGTATGATATGTATCTTGATAGTAAAGTGGTATGATATGTATCTAGTTAGTAAAGTCATGGTTTGATATGTGTCTAATTAGTAAAGTCGTGGTATGAAATGTATTTTGATGGTAAAGTCGTGGTATGATATGTATCTTGATAGTAAAGTCACGGTATAATATGTATCTACATAGTAAAGTTGTGGTATGATATGTATCTAGACAGTAAAGTCGTGTTATGATATGTATCTAGATAGTGTAGTCACGGTATAATATGTATCTAGATAGTAAAGTCGTGGTATGATATGTATCTAGATAGTAAAGTCGCGGTGAAGATATGTTTCAAGACATTAAGGTCATGATATGATACATGTCTAGATAGTAAGGTCATGATATGATATTTATCTAGATAGTAAGATCATGATATGATATGTATCAAGATAGTAAGGTCATGATATGATATGTATCTAGATAGTAAGATCATGATATGATATGTATCTAGATAGTAAGGTCATGATATGATATGTATCTAGATAGTAAGGTTATAATATGTATCTAGATAGTAAGGTCATGATATGATATGTATCTAGATAGTAAAGTCATGATATGATATGTATGTAGATAGTAAGGTCATGATATGATATGTATCTAGATAGCAAGGTCATGATATGATATGTATCTAGATAGCAAGGTCATGATATGATATGTATCTAGATAGCAAGGTCATGATATGATATGTATCTAGATAGCAAGGTCATGATATGATATGTATCTAGATAGCAAGGTCATGATATGATATGTATCTAGATAGCAAGGTCATGATATGATATGTATCTAGATAGTAAGATCATGATATGATATGTATCTAGATAGCAAGGTCATGATATGATATGTATCTAGATAGTAAGATCATGATATGATATGTATCTAGATAGCAAGGTCATGATATGATATGTATCTAGATAGCAAGGTCATGATATGATATGTATCTAGATAGCAAGGTCATGATATGATATGTATCTAGATAGTAAGATCATGATATGATATGCACATAGTAAGAGTGCAATATGATATGCAGACAGTAAGGTTGTGATATGATATGTGTCAAGAGACTAAGGTCACGATATATGTGTCTAGATAGTAAGGGTGTGATATGATACATGAAACATATACTTGACACTTGTCATTTATATTCCTTGGTTATTAGATCTTTGTTTGTGGGTACAAACAAACAAAAATAATAATAATATGTTGCCATGTTTTCCAGTGTTAAGTAAGGTCCTTTTTGTGGGTGTTAAAAATTATGTGTGTTTTATTTGGAAGAATAAAGAATAATCTTTCTGTTAATTTCTTTTTCAATTCTTCATTATTCTTATGGGTTGGGTTCTGGGGAATCCATAAACCAATAAAAAGACAGAGAACCGTATTTAATCATCAAAATGAATTGCCAGTGACATAAAATTGTAATTAATTAAATACTTTAACAATCCCATACTCATATTCCACATGTAATAATGGCCAACCCGGACTGTTGAAGTGTAGAAAAAAGTGGTCTTCTGAACAGTTCTTTCCTGAAGTTACACTCTTTGTCCAGCCTTTCACTAATACTGCCTATACTGATGAAGATTTGAGGACAAATGCCATGTACCGTATTCTGTGAGAACACAGTTCTGAACATCAAGCTTCTGGGTGAATCTTGGAATGAGCACCAACTGATACACACGTCCAACTGACCAGGAGTTCTGAGTACAACACAACAATAGCCCATTTGTCATGCAGCATTGTGTTAATACAGTTTTAAAGGTCCTACTGAAGTCAACATTTATCAGTTGGGCATGAGTGTTTTCTCCCCTTTACACAAATTTCAATTTGATGTCTACAAGTAGCATAATAATAAATCATTTGAAAACTGACAATATTATATCATCGTTTGTGTTTATTCTCATAGGGGAATTCAAATAAATACAAATTTATATACACAGTCAAGGTTTCGGCCACCTGGCCTTCCTGAGGAAAGCCAGAAGGCCTGAAAGCTTGACTGTGTATATTATGACAATATTATAGTCAAAAGTATTTGACAGTATTCAGCTAGTTTGTAAATACATTGCACAGTTTGGTTGAAAAATGTAATTGGTGCAAGCAACATCATATCAGACTGAAAGAGTTCTAGCAGAGACAACAGTTCATGCATTCATTCTGGGGCCAAGAACAAGACAACATGAAACATCTTCATAGTCTGTTGGCAGAAACATAGCATAGTTTCTAAACACAACAGCACACTAAAGGGTTGTGTCAGCTATTCAAAACGTATCATGTTCAGCTTTTTGATGAACAACTGACCATTAGAAAATGACTCTCCAACCATGTTGAAAATGGAGAACCCATCCTGGGCACCGGCCAGTGCGTGGATGATAGTCAGGAAAGCCAATGGTGTATTTCATTGTCCAACTATCTATCATTTGTCTAGAACACCATGTGAATGTCCGGGATACAGGTGGTCCTTGACCTGAACCTGTCATGACAGACCACTAGGACAAACAGAGATGTACAAAAGGTGATGGCTGCTTTTGTCTTTGCACCTTGAGGATGTAAATATAAAAGTTCATGCTATTGATCCTTGGTTTGCCTCCTGGATCAATCACAGAATGGTGACCATCATAACATGGCTGCATAACGCCTCACTCACTCACTCACTCACTTACCCACTCTCTCACTGTCCCACCCACAGATAGTGGTGCATCAGATGACACAGGACTAAACACACTACACCCAGTCACTGTCTCTGCACCTAATGACATTCACAGTAATACAGCCCATATGCTGCAATTGTGTTTTAAAATATTCAACAATTATTACCAACAACCAGGAAAGTAACTCAAACAAGCTTATTAATCTGTTGATAACCAACATGTTGCAAGAATTGTAAACACATTTCCTAAATTCACCACTTCACATCACATATTCATGACATAAAAGTATGCATTACATATAGCCACTGACCTATATCTATATATCACAAACCAGGACTTTGTGTGAGTTATTTCATCAATCAATAAACAATCGCCAAAGCTGTCAAAATCTTAAAGAATGGTTACATCTTGTTGACATTTAAAATCTGCTGAATAGCCAAAACTCCTTGTTGGCAGAGACCTGTTTCAGAAAGAACTCCTGCTGTACACAATGTGGAACTGTCAATATGTGGAGTACAGTCTTGAACACTTACCAATACAATCAGCTAAACAGAGATATTCATAGTAGAGCAGCTCCATGCTGAAACTTATCAACTCCAATCAATGGTGGATGTCAGGACTATATTCTAAAATCGGCACCACAATCCAGATCGTAAGAAACAGCACTGTGGATATTCAGCAATTGTAGAATCCAAAAATTCAGAAAATTTCAAGGCTACATAGAATCAGTGTCCGTAGGTCCTAAATTGTACAGCTGAGTCGGCGTTTGTATCAGTAGAGGAATTCTGCACCAAACACGATGGCCGACAGCACCATGCAATCTTCATCTATTTGCATGCCATCCACGCTAAGCCATCAATGAAGAACTACAGGATGCTTTACGTCTATATAAGGCAAAACTGCGCAGACTTCACCATGGTAGCAAGATAGAAAATCAATACAGTTACTTTCCCTCAGAGTTCAGCCAATCCACATTGTTGGTGGCCATCTTGGATTATTGATTTTGGCCACATTGGAACACTGGATGCAAACGAGTGGGACTCTACTAGGGCATACAGGAATAGTAGGCTCGTTACACTGGCAGGCTGGGAAGAAAGGCCATTCACTACCTGCCATGACCCCTTCAAAGGAGCATATCATGCACTGTGTCTATGCAGGGAGATGGCGCCCCCTCAATGCAAATCTACTATACCCCAAGTTGCCTCTATCTATTCACCACACTTTCGTTGAATATAATTAGGATAAGAATAATAATTCTTTTGTTCCACCTGACAATTTAAACTGATGAATATGAAGTATTAAGAGTCTCAGCAATCACCAAAAATAAAAGGATATTGTATACAGTTTTATTTTATATCATGAGTTAATGATCAAATTAGACATGTTTATTAAATCATTTCATTTAAACTTTCATATGACCTGTCATTGTGGACACAAAGGGGGGAATTTGTTTCAACATCGAATCACTTCATACATTGAATTCATTATAGTACAGTACTGTTAACTTTAATTTTTTTATATGCACATTTTATACATGACAGTATGCCAACCATCTTAAATATAGCATGGCCGTTCGGAGAACAGCCAACAAGGCCACCAACAGTTACAGAATGGACATATGTTGCTATATACTGATGCTACATTGGATAAATATAAAGGACACAATGTGTATCAAGATTACCCTGTTTGAATTCAGGTCAGCATATTCACATTATGAATATTAATCTTCTAAGACTATCAAGTAAACTTCAAGTCTGAGGTCGCCAAAATTAAATAGATTTTCCGTAATTGTGAGTCTGAAGGAGTCTTATGGTCCAAGTTTCCATGGACGTCCTAACTGCTGACAGATGTGATTCAAAAAGTACTTGATGACAAAATTGACATTATTATCTAAAAATTCATTCATTAAGTCGTAAAGAATGTAGGTTTCAGTGACACTATTGCTTTCATTCACAGAATGTGCATCACACGCTCATTCAGCAATGTTTTGACAGGACCAGTACAATCAGAAAACTATCACATATATATTGTCCGTCTGTCCGTCCAACCATCCAAACCCCCTTACACATAGACACTTATGTCATGTGATATTTATGATTCCACAAATGTATGTGGAGCAAACATATACATATGTTTACACCACTTGCAACATGTTGGCAGCTGTGGATTATGAAACTTGCTTACATTAACTTCCTTGTAGTTAACTGTATTGACTGCCTGTTAAAAACAGCACTGTGACATAGGGCATCACATGACAGACAGTTGGACTGGAGTATAGGGTGTTCAGTCTGGTGTCACACCACTCTATCTGGGTGTTCAGACCTGTGTCATATCATTGTATCTGGGTGTTCAGTCCTGTGTCACATCATTGTATCTGGGTGTTCAGACCTGTGTCACACCATTGTATCTGGGTGTTCAGTCCTGTGGCACATCATTGTATCTGGGTGTTCAGACCTGTGTCACACCATTGTATCTGGGTGTTCAGTCCTGTGGCACATCATTGTATCTGGGTGTTCAGACCTGTGTCACATCATTGTATCTGGGTGTTCAGTCCTGTGTCACACCACTCTATCTGGGTGTTCAGACCTGTGTCACACCATTGTATCTGGGTGTTCAGTCTTGTGTCACACCATTGTATCTGGGTGTTCAGTCCTGTGTCACACCATTGCATTTGGGTGTTCAGTCCTGTGTCACACCATTGTATCTGGGTGTTCAGTCCTGTGTCACACCACTCTATTTGAGTTTTCAGTCCTGTGTCACACCGCTCTATTTGGGTGTTCAGTCCTGTGTCACACCACTCTATTTGGGTTTTCAGTCCTGTGTCACACCACTCTATTTGGGTGTTCAGACCTGTGTCACACCATTGTATCTGGGTGTTCAGTCCTGTGTCACACCACTCTATTTGGGTGTTCAGACCTGTGTCACACCATTGTATCTGGGTGTTCAGTCCTGTGTCACACCACTCTATTTGGGTGTTCAGACCTGTGTCACACCGCTTTATTCGGGTGTTTAGTCCTGTGTCACACCATTGTATCTTGGTGTTCAGTCCTGTGTCCCACCATTGTATTTGGGTGTTCAGACCTGTGTCATAACACTCTATTTGGGTGTTCAGACCTGTGTCACACCACTCTATTTGGGTGTTCAGTCCTGTGTCACACCACTCTATTTGGGTGTTCAGTCCTGTGTCACACCGCTTTATTCGGGTGTTTAGTCCTGTGTCACACCACTCTTTTTGGATGTTCAGTCCTGTGTCACACCATTGTATCTGGGTGTTCAGTCCTGTGTCATAACACTATTTCGGTGTTCAGTCCTGCGTCACACCATTGTATCTGGGTGTTCAGTCCTGTGGCACACCACTCTATTCGGGTGTTTAGTCCTGTGTAACACCACTCTATTTGGGTGTTCAGTCCTGTGTCACACCACTCTATTTGGGTGTTCAGTCCTGTGTCACACCACTCTATTTGGGTGTTCAGTCCTGTGGCACATCATTGTATCTGGGTGTTCAGTCCTGCGTCACACCATTGTATCTGGGTGTTCAGTCCTGTGTCACACCATTGTATCTGGGTGTTCAGTCATGTGGCACATCATTGTATCTGGGTGTTCAGTCCTGCGTCACACCATTGTATCTGGGTGTTCAGTCCTGTGTCACACCACTTTATCTGGGTGTTCAGTCCTGTGTCACACCATTCTATTTGGGTGTTCAGTCCTGTGTCACACTATTGTATCTGGGTGTTCAGTCCTGTGTCACACTATTGTATCTGGGTGTTTCAAAAATCCCAAACTATCAAAAGGCACCAGTTTACCACAAGACCTATCTATGTGGCAAGCTTGGTAAAGAAATACTGTACAGTTTCAAGATCTGTTCCAGAAAGGAGCACTACCACCATTTTCAGTCTAAGTAAAAGAAAAATGCTGTTTTTTTAAATCCCAAACTATCAAAAGGCACCAGTTCACCACTAGACCCATTTATGTGCCATGTTTGGTTAAGATTTCTCTCATGGTTTTTTAGTTTTGCTCCAGGAACGAAACCTGACAGCACCCATTGTTATATCCCCCCCTTCCACTTCATGGCGGGGTATAATAAATTAAAATGTCAACAGAGCTACATATTAGCTGCATATTTGCGTAAAATACCCCAAAAAATATTCAAAACCCGATTCCTTTCAATTAACTTGCGTACAGAAACGCAGGTATTAAATGAAAAACTCAAATGTATAAAAACAGCATGCGCAAATACCCAATGAAGCTTTTTCATCATGCGTACAATAGAGCTAATTTCTGAAACACAATTACAAGCTAATTTACTTTCCGAGTCAAGCCTATTTTGAGAACTGTTACCTATATACATCTGTAACATTATTTCGTTTTTGTTAAATCTCAAAATGTTTCCTCATTTTGGGAAAAACACAGAAGAGTGATGAATAGATGAGTGAAAAAATATTGATTACCCAATGAAAAATGTAATAAACCAATTAAAATAGAAACCATCAAGTAAAAACTAAATTGCTCAAAAAGTTATCCGGAGCTCTGTGTCAATAACCACTCTGCAGGAGACATCACTGGTACCAGTTGTCCAACTCAAAGCAGTCCTGTGTCATGGTGCTTCTAATTAGAAGGGTTGCAACAGTCAATCAACTGCTCAAAAATATATCAATGCACAATAACATGCAAAACTACAAATCTGGTACATATGAAATTCTTCGATCATCATGCAACAACAGAGGTAATGCTGTAATGGTTGACATACAGTCCTTCAAATCAGAACTTATACATCTGTAAACCTAGACAAAAATACAATCATATGGCCATTTCTCTGATGAATGTAAGGTGCACCACACTCTGTGACAATCAGACTGTGCGGTGGTCGCTAGGGGACATCGCTGGCGGTTTCAGAACATTCATCTGAAGCACTGCAAACTCCTTCTGGGACAATACAACTCGGAATGACATTGATACACCATCTACAGAATTTTCAGCTCTAAATGGACTAGATCAAAAGACTACTGAAAAATGTACACCTCTGAACCTTCAAAAGTTCAAAAACAAAAGCTTTCTAATGTAAATGGGAACTTTCAAATAAACCAATTTCATCCTGATGTCACATCAGCAGAATTTGACCTTGTCACATGACAAAGGTAGAAGAAGAGTCGGCTTCTTGAAAATCACAGTCCAATATCTGTCTCTATGGGTCAGGTTGAATTTAGTCGTCCTCTCCAGCAGTGACGGTGATCCAGTAATATGTGACCATGTACCAGCCGTGGGAGGCAGGCTTTGGGCTACCACATCCACACAGATACAACCCACAAGCTCCCCAACTGGAACTATGGCAAACATATACAGAGCTTGCACCTGGAGCAGGCTTGAAATACCATTCCAGTCTGTAGTTCCGTTGGCAATCCTAATCTGTGCCTTGTGGAAGCAGACCAACACGATGATCTGTTATATCAGACATCAATTACACAAACTTGTTTCAGGAGCTAGATATACATGTGACCCTTCCCTGCAGCCGGTCAGCAAGATATGAGTTGTTACAAGGAAAGAGGTGAGGACTACACAAATATAGATGGCCTTGCCAAGGGAAGACAAAGGCACCACTGTAAAACCATTCCTTGTTATCAGGCTATCATCAGTATAAAGTCACAATAGCTCCATCACATATACGTGTGACTGAGTTGAGCCTATAGTTAGACAACTATAGTTAGGCAAAACATTTTTCAGTTTACGGATTTGACCGATTAGAAAAGGCACCTTCAGAAATTTTATTGGCCTGACCTCTCCATTTCATGAGATTAACAAACAAACAAAAAGATTTAACTACAAAAATCATGCAAAATTTAAGGAATTATTATCTTTTTGAGTTATCACAT